CCCCCGCACCACACCCCCCCCCCCGCCCCCCGGCTGCCAGTGAGCATGGGGGATCTCGGGCCCCACAGGCATCCCCACGCGGGGGTGAGGATGCACAAGCCACCCAACCTCTGCCACCCCCTCTTGCAGCAGCTGCTCCTCACCTCCAGCCAGCCCGGCTGCCCAGGCTGCACCCAGGGCTGCCCCAAGCTGGCTGATGCCATCATGTCCCAGGTACAGCCCAGGGGGTCTCTGGAGGGGGGTGGCACACACAGCGCAGCAGCCTGACCCCTCTGCTCCCCCTCCCAGGTGCTGCCAGGGCCCCCCGCACCACAACCAGTCCCCCCTGAGGGAAATGCCACCGTCCTGCTGCCCAGCCAGGACGCGGTTCTACCCGGCTCCAACCAGCTCCCCAGGCACCCTCAGCCCCAGCAGGGAAAGCGGTGAGAGCCAGGGTCTCAGGCCAGCCCTGGGCATCCACTGCTGCTCAGGAAGCCCCTGGGGTTACGGGAGTGGTGGGTGGGGATTTGTTCATGTGTTCTCATGGCAGGAGCCAGGGCAGGAGCAGGAGCTCTTCTCAGCGGCCCCCGCTGCCCCGGGAGCTGCCAGGTCCCGAGCTCTGCCTCAGCCCCGAGGGAAGGGTCATCCCTTCAGCACCACCGTGGCCAGGACTGCCAGAGCCCCGAGGTGAGCACAGCAGCGACCAGTGCCTCGGACGGGATCCCTCGGGGGTGGGCTCATGCTGTGTATCCAGTTCCGAGTGCGATAGAGTCCTGACCCCACTGGCTCCCGGCAGCGGCCGGCACCGTCCCTCTCTTCCAGTGGGAAGAGGTGCCAGACTGGCTGGCAGAGCAGATCTGAGCAGCCAGGGATGCCGTGGATGGGGCCAGGAGCAGCAGAGACCTGGCACAGCCCATGCACGGTTATTACACCCAGAGGGACAACCACAGGGGCACGGGGATCTCGGACTGCACAGACCACAGGATGGACGGACAGGACGGACGGACAGGGCTCTCCAGCCTGTGCAGCACTCCGTTTATTTCTGACTAGCTGGGGGCTGTGCTGCCCAGCAGCGGCCTCTCAGGTGCTCTCCTCCCCGGGCTGCGGGCAGTCCAGCCAGTACTGGGCGATGGAGCGGGGGTAGCGGGGCCGCACCAGGTCCACGCGCTTGGTGCGCAGGTTGACGCGGTAATACTTGTCTGGGAGGAAGGGGAGATGGTTGTCAGGGGAGCTGCCAGCCCTGAGCACCTTCCCGCTGCATCCCAGAGCTCAGGGACATCGCAGAGTTGAGCCATCCCCCTGCCCTGGCAGCCCCACATCTCTCCCAGACTCACCTCCCACAAAGAAGTAGACGCTCTGGAGGGTCTCGCACTTGGAGCCCGATAACCAGTCGTCTTCAGCACCCGCCGAGTCGGAGTCATTTTGCAGCCAACTCCAGAAGCCCAGGTGCAGTGACCGGTGGTTCTTGTACCTCTTGCGCTGGCGACGGGACTTCCTCCTGCGGGGCTGGTGGGAGGCCACGTAGATCCTGCCGGCCATGGCGGCGTCCAGCCGGCTGGGCACCCCCCGCCAGTCCCTGCTGATGTACCGGGGGCCACTCGCTCCCACTGGAAAAGGGGCAGAGGGTGAAGGCAGAGGGGCAGCAACTCATGCAATGCAGGTGAGCTGAGCCCAGCCCCATGGGCAGCCCCCCCAGTACCTGCTCCAAGACCCGCAGGGAGTAGGTCTTTGGACAGGGATGCTCCAAAGGATCCCAGCCTGGTTGGGGTGTGTGACAGGGACAAGGCAGGGCCAGGAGGAGCCCCTTGTCCCACCTTTGGCTGGGCTCAGCTCTGTGCTTCTGAAACCCCTTCTCCTCCTCTCCCTCTTTCATTTCTCTTGCCTAGGGCTGGGATTTTCCTACAGAATCTCCAGTAGGAATAAACAGTTCCCAGCAACAACACTGGTGTGAGGTGGCTAATGATGGGCTGGGTAGTGTGAGGCATAAAAGCTGAAGAAGCTGGGATTTGGGATGCTGTAGGAGATGCAGCCATGGCCTGAGGGTTCCTATGCACAGCCCAAACTCCTGCCTGTGCACAGTGGCTCATCCTAGGCATCACTCCATCCTCCCTGGGTGCCTGCACCCCTTGCTCCCTGTCAGCATGGGCTATATTTGCACCCACCAGTCCTTTCCCCCAGGATTGGTCCAGCTCTTACCATTCCTGCCACCGAAGAGCATCTCGAAGATGTCCTCCCAGCTGTCACGGTTCATGAAGGCGTAGTGGTTGAACACAGTCGAGGGGGAGGACTTCTCACAGTCAGCCTGGGTGGGCTGGTTGGCAAAGTCGTAGGACCAGTAGTACTTGTCTAGGAGAGGACACACAGGGCATTAGCGGGTGACACACACTGGAGGGGTGTCCTGCCCCTGGCTGCTGGTGCCAGGCTGTGCCCAGGAAGGGGGGGTTGCACCCTGTACCCTTGAAGAAATAAACTCTCTCGTTGCCGCTGTAGCTGTGCGCGGGGAGGGCGAAGGCCGCGTTGATGTTGTTGGGGATGCCCTCAAAGCCCTCGGAGATGTTGCGCGGGAACTCGGGGTCCAGGACTCCATCGTCAAAGCGCCAGTACTGGCTGCCCTGGGGGTAGGGACAGAGGGGGGGTCAGGGAGCTGGGTGCAGTGTCCCCCAGAAACAGGTCTGCCAGGTGGGGACTGAGAGGAGGCTACGGCCACTCAGGGCCCTGGCCACAGGGACTTGGGGATATCTGACAGGCACTGTGTGCATGGAGGATGCCAGGATGGGTTGAGGGACCGTGCTGGCTGCCCCAGGACTACCCTCAGCCCTGCAGCCAGGCTCCTGCCCACCTTGAACAGGTAAGTCTTGCCCTGGCAGTTGATGCGTGTGAAGGCTGCGTCGATGGGGCCCTCGATGCCCCAGACTTCGCTGATGAGCTTGGGGTAGCCAGGCCGGACGCTTTTCTCATCCAGCTCATAGAAGTACTTCCCTGGGGAGAGAGTGGAGGTGGGAGCAGTGGGACTGACCCCAGCCACCAGCAAGGGGTGACAGAGCAGCCGCACATCCTGAGAGCCTGGGAAAAGTCTGCAAGGTACCTCGGAAAGCATAAATGGAGCCGTTCTTTAGGTCAGTGAAAGCATCAAAAGGTTTCTTGCTGCACAGCTGCTCAGGCTCGGGCTCAGGGTCCCAGAGCCCATCCAACGTGGTATGGGGCTCCTCCACCACTGGCACGTCTGTTGGTGTCTCCACAGGGCCTGGCTTGTTCTCTGGCGTGTGCAGGACCACGGGAGGCAGAGCCGTGGGTGGCTCAGCTGTGGGTGGGTCTGTGCCCAAGTCGACATTGAGGTTGTAGTCAACGTAGTCATCCTCTGGCAAGGCGAACACATCCCCCCGGGTCACTGCAGGAGAGAAGAGGTTGGTCCGTGGGAGCCCTGAGCATCTCCCCCAGGGTCTGGGTGTGGGAGCTACTTGCTCCCAGGCAATACGGAGTCACACGGCCCCCGGTGGTGGGAGGCAGTGAGCCAGCTGCTGATCCCCCTGGTGCTGCAGCACCCTCAGCACCAAATCCCAGCACTGACCCCACCCTGCGGACACAGGTGGGTGCAGAGCTGACCCAGCATGGACATCTCCGAGCCCCTGTGCTGTTGGACACCCATGGCCACCCCGGTGGCCTCTTCCCTGGCTAGGGGGGTGGCCCCAAGGCCGGTACCTTTGGCTTTGCAGACAGTGGTGTAGTCGCTGCAGCAGCTCTGGTAGTACATGCAGAGGGTGTCACACTGGCACTTGTACGTCGCGTTGAAGCCGTCATCGCAGCGACCCTCGCAGGACTCTGTGCAGGAGGGGGAACGTGGGCTGGGCAGCAGGGCTGGTGCCTCCCCCCCCAGCCTGGCCCCAGGGTGAAAGCAAACATGGGCACAGCCTAGATATGGGGGACCCCACCTCTCCATGGACACCCCCATACCCAGGGCCACAGCGGCACCTCTCCCCACTCCCACCCAGATCCCACGGGAACGGGATCCATAGACCAGTCCAGCTGTAGGATGGCCAGGGAATTGCCCAGGCACCACTGATACCTGTGAGCTCCCTGCTTGTCTTCTCCCCACGCTGTGAAGCATAGCCAATGCAGCCAGTGGCCATGGCCACCACCCGGTCCCCTCCTCATCCTGCCTGGGCTCCCCAGCACCTCCATCATGCCAGGAGCTGCACTCTCTCCATCCCCACCCTGGCTACAAGCAGGAGGCACCTGGTGGGTGCTGCCCAGCTCCAGCTCACCTTCAGCAGCGTGGGCAGCAGCCAGCAGGAGGGCTGTGAAGAGCAGCTTCATCCTGGGTGTCTGGGAGCACAGCCCTCCTGCAACTGTGCGGGCTGGAGCGTGGCTAGAGCCGGGTCCCTGGCATCCACTGTTTGCTCAGCCTGTCCCAGCAGGAGAAAACAAACAGGCCAAGGTCAGAACAGACAGGAAAGGGGCAGAGACTCTTT